GGAGGGTCAGGGAGACCTAGTAAGTAGCTTACTAATGGGGCTAGCTAGGGTTACTGTATGGTTTATAAGTGCTATGAACCTACTTAATGAGTCCCCTTGACCCTCCCAGTAATAACGCTTTATTCAGGGTCTATTTAAGTTTGGGAGGGAAGTGTGTGAGGACGGAGTGTAGTATGTCATGTCACATTATATGTAGCGAGCGCGAAGTTGCAAAGAGGTAGTGACCAATATGTGGGCCCAAGTTCGTGACTTTTGCAGGCTTTGGGATGTGCACCAAGCAGAAGATAGCACGCCCACGCATCTTTGGTTGTTGCAAAAATGTGACTTTCTCGATACACTCTTACCATGATGCTTGCATCAGGCATCAGGGTTTAGAGTTCTTAATGGGGATTATAAGGGATTTAGGGTATGTATATATATATATGTATGTATATATATATATGTATACATATATAGGGGTAATATAGGGATAATGGGAAAAACATGGAAACGACTATATAGGGTTTAGGGTTGACTCCTTGTAATTGCTATGGATCCCGAGGACAGTGAACCCTGGATTGGGAAACTCCCTTAGTTTGCCAGTTAAGCAGTTCTTCTTTTACCTTTTGTCGAGTTCTAAACCCTACGTAAGCCCTACATAAACCCTAAACCCCAAACCCTAAACCCGAAACCTTCCATAGATAGGGGTTGTGGGTTTAGGGCGATGGAATCCCAACATAGACACCAAAAATGTTGTTATCCTTGTTGGTGGCGCTCCCCAAAGAAACCCCCCAAATTTTGGAAACTCTCACCTAGCTGAGGGATTGTTAACCGTATCAATTGCCTCTGCATGTCATTTATGACATTGGGGCCCCGTTTTTGGGGCCCCAATGATGCCACCATAGTAACGGGTTATGTTGGGGCGCCTATGTATGGAAACTTTCCATTTAACTTGGGCTGCTTGGAGGACCAGGGCAGCCCAAATCCTCGACCCTGCATTCCCTTCTTCCCTACTAACTCGCAGCCTTAGACCCTATAAAGCCTAAACTGAGCACTTGCCGGGTAGTTTGGTTGAGGGTTGTCCCAAAACTGGATGCTAATTGCACAGGCTTCGAACAAGTGCATCAGAAGAACGGTCCTGCCAACGTTATGTTCCCTAAGTCCTAAATGGCAATTTCTGGAAATTGGGGCCCAATGTAGACCCCAAAATATCCTTATTATGGGGATCTCAAAACAGGTATCCCTAATTTTGGGGAACCCCTAAATCCTTTGCATGCTTCCAGTCCTTCATCAGGGGAGTTAGCCATCCATCCCAAATCACACATTCAGGAGGACGCCTCCGCCCTGTAATAGTGGTATACTAGGAATATAAGACTGGGTACCGCAGTAGTACACTTTTTCCCCTTTTCATTTTGGTGCCTCCTTATTAAAACTTAACAGCAGGAAAAAGTGTCCCCTTCTTGTTAAAGGGTTACTGGGGAATATAATAAGAGGACCCTGATATTATCCTTCTTATCCCCTATAAGCACTATTACTGGGTGGGGACTCCACCTAACACATCTCCGTCAAACAAATGTCCATCCCTTCCTCTACGTTGGAACGCTCACGCCCTCTAAGAGTATATGAGCCATAATCTGAACTCCTTAAAGGGGGTTATATAGGGGGACTATTGCAGGGGTTGATAAGGGGATACTAGGAGTTTGGATTGTAATACCTATAATCCCCTAGATGACCCTATATATATATATAGCAGTTTCCATTTCATTTTCCACTTTCTTTTCCATTTGATTCTCCATCATTAAGGGAGATACTACGAGTCTAGACTATGGGTCATATGTGTATCATAATATCTCGTACCCTAAACCCTAAACCCTTAACTAATTTCATACCGTTTTTCCAACATGAGCTAGAGCTGACCGAAATCTTTGAGATTTGCACAAGTCTAGGGTTTAGGGTTTAGGTCGTCAGATAACTGCCTTGGATCAAGTAGGCCTTGTGTGGTTCTCGGTGTTTGGTTTGGGTTCGATGCTCAAAGACCCGGGATCAATGTTTGAATGAGGGGTTGTCGGGTGCAGGGGCTTGGGATTATTCAGTATTGGGCGGGTGTATATATATATATGTATATATCAAACTTTCCATCGTGCATTTAGCCCTATATACCCCTTGAAAAGGGGGGGTTCGTTTATCATCGGGGTAGAGCGCTGAAATCATTACGTGCTTTGTTCTCACGCGGCAGGTGCGGTCTCCATTGTCCTTACCCTTCCCAACACGAACATGGAAAACCATATGAGGTAAGGTTGTGATATGGGGCTTTGGTGAGTCTACCTACTTGGTGCGGAATAAGTCAAGATCCTGCCATATCTGTCCCCTTTTCAAAGAACATTAATTGCACCACGTACCACCCCTTTTCAGATTTCATGTTAGTTTGGGAGTAGAGTATATTATACTTATCTCCAGAGAGCACCTGTCTCGTTTCCCAGAAATGAGCTTTTAAAACGTTTAAACCTCCGAGAGCTCCCCAACTACCATCTATAACCGCGGCTCCCAGTACATGAATATGTGTAGCGTCGGGGCTTTCATGATTACCAAAGTCTACATTAGTACATGATTCCTTGCATAACCATTGCATACAGTGCCTAACACAGACCTCAACATGATACTGGTTTTTTGTCACTGTGGGAGCCTAAACCCTAAACCCCTAAACCCTAAACGGCGGTACATTGCGGAGCCTAACGGGCTTTGGGGTTTAGAGTACGGACAGGTTGCGCCGGCTGTCGCGCGAGCCATAGTGGCTGGGGCCTCAGTCAAAGGGTCTAGGGTTTAGGGTTTAGAGTTTAGGGTTCAGGGTTTAGAGTTCAGGCTTTAGGGTTATAGATGCTGACGCATCTGTAACATTGCAATGTGCCCCTCCACTCTGCATCGTTGATACTAGAAACTCTGCATGACCTTAGTCTAATACCAAACTTCGGAAGCTGTAGGTATTGGCTCATGGTGTGTCCGTAACTGCGCTGGGTAACGGCTCAGCGTATCAGATCAGTGTGTGGCTGTACTGGATCAGTGCCTGCCAGCGAACTGGATCACGGAATCAGCCTGTAACAGCTCAGCCCTGTGACATCAGCTCTAAACCCAAGTATACGTTTAGGGTTTATGGATTTAGGGTTTAGGGATCTAGGGTGTAGGGACTTAGAGTTTAGGGTTTAGGGACTTAGGGTTAGGGATTTAAGGATTTAGGGTTTAGGGTTTAGGGACTTTGGGTTAAGGGACTTAGGGTTGAGGGACTTAGGGTTTAGGGACTTAGGGTTTAGGGACTTAGGGTTTAGGGACTTAGGGTTGAGGGGGCCATTTTTTTTTTCAAAGGTTTGGCTCTACCCTGGTTTGGCTCGCCCCTTAAGGATTTCCTACAAGTTCTTGCTTTCCGTGGCTCTTGGTTCTTTGCCCCTCGAACGAGAGAAAGAAAGAAAGAAGCAAACAAAGAGCAAAAGAAAGA